GATCATACAAGGGAACCTCCAAGATCATGTTTGGTTGCAGGATCTTTATAGGATAAGGAATAAGTGGTCGATAACCTTCAATAAGAATTGTTTTAGCATGAACATTATATCCACACAGCGTAGCGAGTCTACTAATAATGTGTGTCATGGCATTTCTAAGCCCACAAGTTCTATAATTGATTGCTTTTTGGGCTTAGAGAATGTCATGAGGAATTGGCGGCGGAATGAACAGGATGAGGATTATAGATACAGCTAGTTTGAAATAGAACCTGTAATAAAAAACTGCTCAATATTAAAGCAAGCTGCTCGATTTTATTCAAAGAAATTATATTGTGAAGAGTTGTGTCGGGGTCAGTGGGCAATCGAGGTAGGATTCTATTATGCTAGTGCCACTGGGTGACCGATGTGAGATTTTATTATGCTGGTGCTAGTGGACGACCAAGGTGGAATTCTGTTATGCTAGCACTAGTGGGCGATCGATATGAGATTTTGTTACCAAAGTGCTATTATGTCATATCCAATGTGCTACCGAAGTGGGATTCTGTTATGCCGACGCCAGTGGACAACCGAGGTGAGATTCAGTTATGCTGGTGGAATTATGTTACTGAAGTGTTGTTATGTCGGAGCTAATGGGCTACCAAGGTGAGATTTTATTATGAACTATTTGCTTATAATATAGTTCAATTCAATATTTATTTAATTGTATTTAATTTTAGTACATTGTTCAACACAGTGTTCTCATAGCTATTGATTTCTATTTCAAGCTACAATAGCCTATCAAGCAATGCTAGCTCATCCACGCTTTTGCTTTTATGTTTTATTTTCAGGCCCAGGGAAAGGTAAAGAGTAAGCTGAGTAATTTAGATAGCAGGATCTGATTTGTCTTGGAGGTATATTTTGGTTAGTTTTTATTTTTGTAGGTTTGACTTTTATTTTTTTTATGCTCTCTATTGTCAAGCACTGTTATAGATATATTTGAAATTATATATGGTTTGGATGATATATAGAAAATTATGTTGAGATTTAGTAGACTTTCACTTTATATTGTAATTCAATAGTGACTCTATGTAGTGTATAAATTAGAAGTTTTATTTCAGTACTTCTCCAATCAGATCTTGCGGTCAATCTTGCCATAATCGGACATGGTATGAACTATGTGATACCCGATCACATAAAGTCAGGTTGTGACAGTATATGAGCTATTGATGGAACACATTTGGATTCTCGTATTTTGAGTGTTAAAAATGTGGCTTTTATAGGACGGCGTGGTTCAATGACATAAAATATTATGATAGTTTGTGACTTCAATATGTGTTTCACTTTTATCATGTTAGGGTAAGAGAGTAATGGGCATGATAGTTGTAGTTTTAAATTTCCTATATGTAATCAAGAACATCAATTTTTTATGCCACTATCAAGTAAATAGGTAACTTGTCATAATCAACCACTTTACTTATCCTTTAACTAAATAATGTGCAATTGCAAATAGATAAATATTATCTTGAGGATGGGGGTTTTTGAAGCTTTTTTTGATACAAAGTATTGTTTTCCTGATTTTTAAAAGGAATTAAGTCAATCGATATGTATGATACAAAAATATTTAACAAGCGATGCTCTTAACTACGAGGTGTGATTGAGAGATCATTTGATGTTTGGAAGAGGAAGTATATTCTCACATATTCATTCAAGAGGAAAATAAAAATGGTGATGGCTATAATACATACGTCTCCATTCCACTTGAGATGATCCATAATTCAATATTTATGATAGGGATTAATTATATATACCTCTCAAAACTTATGAATATCAAATTGGCCAATTATTATTTAAGAGCAAAGAAGATGTAACAAATCATGAGGCCCGAGATGGTGAAGATATTGAGGAGATGATATAATTATGAGAGCACATCATATTTATATTGATTAACGGGATGAATTAGAAATTGCATTTCTACACAAACTTCATTAAATCCAATTTTCATATTTTTTACTAGTTTTTTTTAGTGTAATTACTTTAAATCATGACATGTATTTAGATTGATCATTTTTCATATCATAAAACTACTTGCATGCATATGTTTCATTCTAATTTCAAATGGGTCAAATATGTGTGTTTCTTTATCTTTTATGGATCCAAAGTCCAAACACAATATTATTTGAGCTTCCATAAAGTTTTGATACAGGTTCACTTGAATCTTGACATTTTTGCAATCATAGCCTATACAATGGAGATTATAATGGCTTGGAATTCTCTCCAAATTTGATAGATATTGTTTTCTCATTTAATAAACTGATATGATTGGAACTAACCTTGGCACCAAGATGAAGGCTTATGGTGTTATTTTCATGTGGGGTATATTACTATTTATGTATCATTGGAAGCTCTTTTGACAAGTTTCCTTATGTAGCATCCAGGATGGATGCATTTCTAACATATAATATATTTGTAAATAATTTTTTTTTATGCCCAATGAGCTTATCAATATAAATTGGTCTTATATAGCTGCAGCAAAACAATTGATATCTACATTCCCAAACAAAACATATGGCCTTCTTTACAATAACTTTAGAAAGTAGCTTTCTCCATAACTGTCACAACCTAACTTGACTAGGATATGTCCTATCATGTTGAGTTATGATAGACAAATCTCAAAATCTAGTTTTAGAATATTTTAAGTTTTCTTCTAATATTCATTTTAAATAAATAACGTACCACAAAGCTACTAAAATATTCATATACTAAAAATAAACTCATCCACAAAATTTTTTCATTTCATCATAATATATAAACTATATTACATGGCTATAAATCAACAAGCTCATTCCCTTTTTTAAATTTTAAAAATCATAAGCAAAATCACAGTGAGCTACAATAGCTTAGTAAAGCACACAAATTGATTTAAAAGTTTAAATTCTTTTATTAAATATTTTACTAAATACTTAAAAGCAATTAAATACAGTCTAAATAATTACTATATTAAGAAAGGTAGTAAGACCATAACAGTTATATAATTATTTAAATAATGATACTGAGTAGATAAATAAATTAAAATTTATTTCATATAGCACCTCATATCACAAAGCAATTCACATTATATATCCCTATCCAAGATATAATCTTAAAGGATTCTAGCCACTTATGATTCTTTTTTATGATTATAATATCAGAACATACTCGTACAAATCAGAACATAGCTTATAACTACAAGAACATGATTTTCTAGCCACAAAAATATTCCCAGACATAAACATAATTTTAAAAAAATATGGCTCCTTATATCTCCTGGCAGATATAATTTAACCATATATACACATATTTTATCACATTATAACAGATAAAGCATGATTGAACATGTGTCAAAATTGGATAGTTTTCTATAACGATGGGAAACATAAATTCCTATCAAGTTAAAATTAGATAAAAATATCATATTTTTAAAAAATGATATAGCTGTTATGTGACCTATCTCGAGGTGAGCAAATTTCTCAATTAAGCTAACTAGCAAAAATGACTACACGTCCTCCAACACCAATTTTATTTTTCTCTCTTATAATTCTTCTCCTTCCAACTCTCTGTGTGTGCAAAACGAAAAGTGTAACCATTTTAATAAGTGTTTTAGTGAGTTTGGATTTTTTTATAATAAATTAATATAAATGTATAAATGTAATTATTCAAATTATTTAATTTTAGTATAAAATCCTTATATATTCTTTTATATCTTGAAATCTAAGGATAAAAAATTACAAAAAAAAAAATTATACATTAGTTAAATATGACTAAAATACTCTAACAAAATTGATTTGCAAAACTGATACCTAACAATCCCAAAAACTCCACTTGTGCATACAAGTGCAAATTTCTTAAAGAATTACAACAAAGCCAAAAAATTAGAGAAAAACTAATGAAATTAAAGCATAATAATATCTATATTATGATGAAGATGGTTTATGATTTAAACTTGTAATGACTCTTAAAATAATTTTTGACTGTTATAGGCCAAAATATATCTATTAAAATTTTGGGATTATTGCAATCTACCCACTTTAAAAAAATATCATCCTTGACCTTTTAAAGCTTAGATATCACATCACATGACCAAATCACGATACAACTGTCTCATCTCAGACTCATTTTTTCAAATAGCTTCTCTTTCAGTTCTACTTTTTCACTAAACTTTAACGATTAGAATTTCTTTCTTTCTTATCTTTCTAATATCATATAGCTCAAATTCAAACATACCTCTATATCTTCAACATATATTTTATTATTAAAATCAGATATACATTTCCTTAAAAGTGATAAGTGGAACACAATGAATCTCAAACATGTGATCTGACAACTATAACTTATAGGCACCTTTCCCAATCCTTTCAACCATTTCAAATGTTACAACATATCTTGGACTCAACTTTTAATTGAGTCCATCTTTTAAAAAAGTATGATAATTATATGAAGAAATAATAAAAATCATTAATATAATAGTTAAAAAATGACTAAAATCTTTATCTTAAATTTGAATAATGCTTGAATTATTTGATTGAGATTATGTATTTTCCTTAAAAAAATTGTATTTTTATACATTGTAATATGAATTTAAATATTATTTTAAAGTATATTAATTTTAGTGAATAATAATAAAGTCTTATAAATAAGATTAAAATAACTATAATCTAGAATTTGTTTATCTCCACACATACCCATTAGTTCAAACATTTAATTCATAAAATTTAAAAAATTAATTATAAAGAAGATGAAAGATAAAAAATAATAAAATATTAATCTTAACAAAATTAGAGAAGTAAAAAAAACCTTATAGTATAGATCAACTCTAATTATTGAAAACAAATAAATTAATTTTTCTTCATTTTATTTGCAAGCTCATAATTTTTTATTTTATAATGATATTTCTTTGATTGTAAAATATATATTTTTAGAGCTTTGTATTTAAAAAATTCAGAATATTTTAATCAAATTATATATATATATATATTTCCGGCTTTCGGCGTTCTTCCAGCCTTGTGCCCAATTATCTGTAAAATCCTGTCGCCATGGCTTGCGCTGCGTTTCCAACGCTCACTCTCTCTCTGCTCCGACCTCGAGGCTTGGAAGGAGGCCAAGCCACTCGTGCCTCACCGTGGCCATTACTCGCCGGCTTGGACTCCCGTAACCAGCCTACAGACCTCTCTGAAGTGTCTTCACGCAGGAACTTTGATCGCAAGAGCTGGAGCCGGAGAGCAATTAGGGCAGAATTTCCACCGGAGGAAAGAGAGCCAATGGTTCCGCCCTATAATGTGCTTATCACCGGCTCTACCAAAGGCAGGTAGCACTTGTCATTTTATTTTATGTTTTAGTCCTGGTCACGAGATTAGTTATTATTTTATACTGATTTTGTTTATAATTCGTTGATGAGTTACCTATTGTATTGTACGAACGATTGAAAAAGGAAAAAAATAATTTTTTTTGGGAATAATGAGGGAAGAGCGCCAGAGCCCATTTCATTGCCATAAAATTGTTACCAGATGCAAAAGCCTACTTACAACCCCAGAAAATGGAAAAAGAGACTAAACGAGCTGCAATACAAAAAATTAGCAATGCTCAAAACTTTTAAAAAGCAACCTAAGGAGAAGATTCAAAACCCACAACAGTGGAAGGGGATCATTCTTAGAGACTAAACTCATAAAAAGAGGTAGATATCATAGAAAAGATTTTAGATTCAGTATTGAAAAATTGGCCGCATAAAAGATCAAAATGTCAAAGACAAGAACAGAAGGTTCCCTTGGTTTCCTGGCAGGGCGAAGACCATACAGAGGAAACAAACAAAACCTGTCGAGGTGGCTAAAATCATCTTCCAGAAGCAAAAGACCACTAGTCATCTTAGAGAAAACAATCCCTGATAAGATCTGCATTTTTCCAACAGGTTTAATGAGCTGAAGAATCGTATGAATGCTTTTGAATGAATTGCCAAATTTCCTAGCATTCCTTTCCCTACGGATATAGTAAACACATCATTTAATACTCAGCAAGAATATATATATATATATATATATATATATATATATATATATATTAAACACCTGCAAAAAAGCAAAAGAAGAAACACAAAGAAGATGAGCAGAGTATTTGCTATGGAGTAATTAGTTTATGTATTTCTCCATACTAATCCAGTGATACAAGATAGAGTGTATATGTAAGTAAATAATAGATAGGTTGTTAGAAAGGAATCATAATTTGTTTTTGATAGAGAGAGTGGAGCAGTCTTTAATGGCTGAGGTAGATGGAGTACGATATGCTATATAGAACTTGCAGTTCATTGGACTGTCGTGTTAACAGGCTCCCTAAAATTAAGTATCCTAATGTTTGATAGTCAATTTGTTGCGTAGATTGCTGAACTGAGTTGTTGAAAGTGGCTTCGTTAGTATGTCTCCTAGTTGATTAATGGAGCTAATGTGAAAAACTTCAATTTCTTTGTTCTTGATGTGGTTGCTGATGAAGTGGTAGTTGATTTCTATGTGTTTGGTTCTGGCGTGGAAAACTGGGTTGTTTGCAAGGGCCAATGTCGATATGTTATCGCAATATATAGGAGTGTGTTGTTGTTGTGTGACTTGAAAATCTACGACCAAACGGCTGAGCCAAAGCACATCTGAGGCGGCGGAGGAGAGGGTGCGGTATTCAGCTTCGGTGGAGGATTTTGCCACTATTTCTTGTTTCTTCACATGCCAAGAGATGATGTTATTGCTGAGATATGTACAAAAACAAGAAATTGATTTCCTATCTGAGCAATCCGCTGCCCACTCAGCATTCGTATAGGTGCGAAGTGTGAGATCGCTCGGGAGAAGTGGGATGCCAAAGTGTTGGGTGCCTGTGATGTAGCGAAGAAGTTGCTTAAGGGCTTGATAGTCACTGTTGATGGGGTTATGCATATGTTGTTTGTGGAAAAAGCTGTCAGGTTTGGTGATGGTAAGATATTATAAGGAGCTGGCTAATTGACGGTATAAGGTGGGATTGGTATAAAGCTCAGTTTGGGATTGGGTTTGGGACGGTTTTAATGACATGGGTGTTAAAGCCAGTTTGCAGGAATTAAAACCAGATGAGTCCAGTGTAGCTTTGGCGTAATGTGTTTGATGGAGAAACATGCCTGCTGAGGTGCGGTTTACCTTAATTCCGAGGAATAAAGAGACTTGCCCGAGCTGTTTAAGGGAAAAGGCACCTTGTAGTTAAGAAAGCAGTTGTTGTATGGAGTCTTGGTGTTTACCGGTGAGCAAGATGTCGTCGACGTATATCAAGATGTATATTTGGATGTCCGAATGATTGTAAATGAGTAATGATGGGTCGAACTTGCTGAACTGGAAGCCAAATCTGAGAAGAAAATATGTGAGCTTTTGGAACCACTGGCGTGAAGATTGTTTGAGGATTGAAATAGTGAAAACTTTTATGTTGGGTTGGGTTACATGATGTGGACTCTTAGGGAAAGGGAGCTTGTGGCTTTTTTCTACTTTACATGAATGACACATAAACGAAAGAGAGGAATTACATAAAGAAGGAATAAACTTAGATAAAATGGACATCATGCGGTGGTGAGGATGTCCTAGCCGAGCGTGCTAGGTAGGGGTTGATGCAAGTGTTGAGTGGAATGCAGAGGCAGTGGGATCTGTTGATGTGCGAAGTGGGTATAGACCGTCATGGATGCAGCCACGGAGCAAAATTCTGTGATCCTGAAGATCCTTGATAATGAGACCATTTGCATCAAATGAAATATAAAAGTTATTATTGGATGTTAGTTTAGAAATAGATAGGAGGTTGTGAGATAGAGAGGGAATGTGAAGAAGGTTATGAAGATGGTTCTTAAAATTTGAATCAAGGAGGGGAAGTATTCCTTGGCAGCTGTGATGGATGGGTAAGGAAGAGCCGTTGGCGATTGAGATGGAGTAGGGTCTGTGATATGGATTTGATTGTTGTAGATTATGAGCGTTAGAGGTGAGATGAGTGGATGCGCCCTAGTCGAGAACCCATTCTGTTGTAGTAGATGACTGAGGCAGAGATATTAATGCTTGCTAATTCGAGGATGGAGGAGGGGCATACTGTAAGTTGCATCTATATATGCCAACAGAATAAAGTGGTTTGTTTTGCTGCAAATCGACAGATAGGTCATTGCATGAAAGAACTGGTTGCGGGTAGAGGTTGACTGGATGGTTGTGCTAGTTTGGATGGAGATCCTCGTCCACGGTTTGATCGAAATGGGAATGGTTTGCCTCTATTCAAGTTGATGCAGGAGATGTAGAATGCCTGGTTGTCGTGGGGAGGATTTATATCTTTATGTATTTCAGTTTGTAGATGAATTTCTTCATTGCAGAGGAGGGACTACAAAACGTTGAGGCTTATTAGATGGAGCGAAGTTCGGATCACTGTTTTGAACGAACTGTAAGAAGGTGGCAGTCCATTGAGGATATAGAGGATAATGTCCTCTGTGTTGATGTGTGATCTGACAGCTATAATATAATCAACTAGTGTCTTGATCTAAGAAAGATACTAAGCAATAGATTGGTCTCATATCTGAATGTGGTGGAGTTTGTTCTTTAGTTGAATTACTCTCAATCCGTTTGTTGGCCAAAGACGATTTTTCAGAGTTGTCCAAATCTCATGAGTAGTATTGAGATGAAGAACGTATAGCAGAATTGAGGGGGTGATGGTGGAAATAAAGCATAAACAAGGTTTTGATCAATTAAATGCCAAAGGTAATGTTTTGTACTGGTGGAGTTCTGTGAGGTTCCGGTGGGCAAGTTTGTTGTCCTATGAGATAACCCTCAAATATGTTAGCTAAAATAGTTTATGGATTTGGATACACCAGATTGCATAATTTTCGGTGGTTAACTGGATCTTTACGATGAGTTTGAGGTTGGACAAAAGAAATTTTAGAGGAGGTACGGTAACTCTGTGTGGTCGGTGAAGATGAATCTTGTTCTGCCATTAGGAACAGTAGAGAGGAGCAATGACGCTAGGTCTTTGATACCATGAGAAAACACCTGCAGAAAAGCAAAAGAAGAAACACAGAGAAGAAGAGCATAGTATTTTCTGTGGAGTAATTAGTTTCTGTATTTCTCCATACTAATCTAGCGATACAAGATGGAGTGATATGTAAGAAAACAGTAGACATGTAGTTGGAAAGGAATCATAATTTGTTTTTGACAGAGAGAGTGGAGCAGTCCTTAATGGCTGAGTTAGATGGAGTAAGATATGCTATATAGAACCTGCAGTTCATTGGACTGTCGTGTTAACATTAACAAGGTGTTAAAAAGAGGGATATCACTACGTAGAATCTGAAATGAGAAATCACATTGGAAAAAGAGGTGCGAGATATTCTCCAAATATGAATGGCACAAAACTTACAACAGAGAAGCTAAAATATTCCTTGCAACAAGCACATCTGCTGTTTTGAAGGCCCTAGAAAGAGCCAACTAAGAGAACACTGAGAATCTAAGTGCATATTTGTTGTGCCAGATACTTTTAGCCCTAGGAATCAATTCAATACCATGAACCAAAAAGTAATAAAAATCCCTCATGCTAGGCTTCTGACAGCCCAACCATAAAACCTGCTGTCTGTTGCTATTCATAATAGAAATTTTCTCACAGAGGAGCTGAAACCAGCAATCAGGCAAGTCCCATCTTCCATTAGTAATAATATTTGAAAAAACTAGGTTAGCAAGAACATATATTGGCGATTGAGCGCTGTTAAAGTAATTTATCATTGAAGTGCCAGCAATCCACGGATCCTAGAGGGCAGGTAAGTTGCAGTTAGCATATATTTGCAGGCTAAGATTAGGTTTCATAATTTTAGCAATTGCTTTTAGAGCTTTCCAGACCTTAGAGGCTGTAGTGGAGATAAGCTTCCTTAAAGAAGAATATTTGAATTTTCGTCATGAAGCAAGTAGGGAGTCATTTGTAAGGAATCTCCATATCAGAGCTTAATTGTAAACAAAAATTAAATCATTCAAAGCAGGAATATCAAGTCCACCATATCGTAAGGGTCTATAACGTAATTTTCCAAGTGATCAAATGTAATTTTTGGTAGTAGCATCTCATGAAATAAGAACCTGGCACTAATTTAATTAAGGAACTTAATGCAAAATTTAGGTATAACACATCCTCTGATCCAATAGGCTATGGTGTTCTAGATTGTAAATCTAAGGAACTTTATTTCCCAGCAAAAGAAAGTGACTTTGCTCTCCAACTATCAATAAGCTTGGAAACTTTATTCAAAAGCGGTTATATATCTGAAATATGTATTCTTCTAGTGGCCATCGGTATACCCAGATGCATAA